AGTTGAAGATAATGGTGATGGAATAATTTGGAAAATGATAGTGAGAATAGCAGCACAACTCGAATGTAATTGATGTCACTGAATTGTACATGTAGATACTTTTGAAATGGTGTAACTTTGGCTATGCATATTTTCACGAAAAAAAAAAAAGTCCTCCAAGGTCAAGAAGGGAGAGTGTTGACATGTTGTGGGGTTGTTAACCAATGTCATAAAACAATATGTGTACTGACTGTTTAATGAGAAACTATTCGTTCTGTAAACCTTCATCTAAACTACAATAAAAAAAAAAAAACTAAAAAAAAAACCAAAACTACCACAATAACAAAATTGCAGGAGAATGTTGTGGAGATCAGAATATAAAAAAGTGCCATACTTCTGAGTAGCTAACATTTCCTGACGAAACTGTTCTCGTTCACTCAGGAGGTCTTGTATAGCGCTCTGTGCATCACGGCTCTGACGCTGTAAAACTGCTCTGGAGTTGGTTAACTCATCTGCCATCACCCTGAAAAATATTAAAATCTTACATATAAATTCTCTGACAATAAAATAGTATAAAGAAGTTTATATGCTATCTTTGTGATTCTCATTTTCAAAAGCTTACAAAAAAGATTAATAGTCAAATTACTTCCGAGTTTTTAACTTTTCATTAAAAAAATTTAAAAATGTTTATGAGCTTAGAGCCCATTAAAGTGATTCAGTTAAAATATATGTTATAAAATGACAAAGGCAATAGTTATTTAACTTTCCTATATAGTGATTTTTGGAATGTACCTCAATCTTACTATAGATTGTTCAAATTAAAAAAAAAAATTATTAAATGTTTTTAAATACAGGAAATTTAAAAGAAGAAAACAAAAACTCATTATTCAACCACCTCTTTGCCCTTGGGAAAATAATAATATAGAAAGTCTTAAATAAAATGAAAACTAAGTCTTTCCTCTTGCCTAGCATCCCCATCCTTCCTTCATATACACCAAATAAAGTTTTTAAAATATTTTTCCAAAAAATAATTTATGATTATATCAACATTAAAGTATGTGTTAGAAATAAATATATCCATTTTATTTACAGTAAAGGGATTATTCAATACAAACTTTTCTACACTTTTTTTTTTGCAACTAATAATTTATCTTGGAGATCCTTCTTTATTAGCACATACACAGTTACTTCATTTTCTTTTTTTAAAAATCACTTTATATTTTCCATTGATTGGATGTACCAAATTTTATTTAACTAGTTTCCTATTGATGGAAAGCAGTAAGTAAAACTCAGCTGAAAATCTAAAAACTAAAGTCTCAGATCTTAGTAACCACAAACCAAAACCACACCCACTGCCATGGAGTTGATTCCCCCTCATAGCAACCCTGTAGGACAGAGTAGAACTCCTCCACCAGGCTTCCAAGGCTGTAGTCTTTATGGAAGCACACTGCCACATCTTTCTCATAGTAACCATAGAATGCCTTAAAATAAAAACTGTTTTGACATTGAAAGATTAAATCAACTAAAATATCAATAAAGGTGAGCAGATGAGTTTAATTTTATTGCCCTTAAATGTAACTATCAGTGTTGATTAGGATGTTAAAAAAAAAATTACATATTGCATTTATCTATATAACATATGGATGATTTATTTGCTTAAGCTGTTCAATGAGAATTAAACTTAATTAGCTTTCATTCTAAGTCAATAAAAGTTAAGTTCACTTTCCTAAATAGCATCATATACCAGTACAATTAGAAAACAAATGAATTAAAGGACTTTAGGAGAGTAATCAATTACTATAAAGTACCACAGACATTAAGACCTGAAGCAACACTTGCCTAAAAATTTATTACTATGATCAGTAGTTCTTAAAGTACAGCCTGGGAACCTTTCTTGTTTTGTGAGAAATCTCCAAATGGTTCAATTCTAATCAACAGTTATTAAACATACTAATACTACATGTGAAGCACTTTGCTAAACACTGGAGTACACAGATCGTTAACACCCAGATCCTGCTCTCAAAGACAACATACAGAAGAAAAACTAGGAAATAAAAAATAACATTTAAAATAGAAAATACCTGCTTGCAAGGAATTTACTTCGCCACACATCACACTGTATTGACATGCGTTCCAACTGTTCGGAAAGCCGAGCTGTGTTCTGACCTAAGGCTTCATTTTCTAAAATAAGCTGATTTTTTTCATGGGCTAGACGTTCAAAGTGATACTGAAGATCATCCCCAACAGAAGCCACCAGCAACTTTTTTAACTCACGATTTACCTGGTAGAGAACCAATGCAACACGCTCAAAGTAATGCCAATGACTTTAACGTAACAAAATTAATGAGACAGGAACTGTTTTTGTGTAATTTGGACCTCCATTACTTAAAGTGCATGTCAAAAAGTGATAGTAAATATTTTAGTTTCATAATACATATAAAATAATTCATTTCTTTGTAGACCTAGGATTTTTACTTTTAGAAATTTAAACAAAGGCAGTAATCCAGGATATTTGTAAGTATGTTCTTTACATTGTTATTGAAAACAACAACAGATTAAAACATTAATGTCCAATAATAGGTTATTGGTAAATTATGGTGTAGCCATATGAAGAACACTACTGCCATTAATAATGACATTGTAAAACAATACTGTGACATGGGACTACATTACTAAGTGGAATATAAGTTACTAAGTGAAAAAAGTAGGTTATAAAACAAAATTAACTCTCTATACAGTTATGTAGTTATAGCTAGACAGTTTGATTATAGGTGTTATAATTATTATAGATTATTGTGTTTTTCTAAAATGTGGTTAAGAGCTCAGGCTGCTAACCAATAGGTCAGCTGTTCGAATACACCAGCCACCCCTTGGAAACCCCATGGGGCAGTTCTACTCTGTCCTATAGGGTTGCTATGAGTCAGAATCAACTTGATGGCAATGGGTTTGTAATTAGAAATTAGTTATTTTAAAAATATATTAGTTTTAGGTCTTCGGACTAGAACAACTAACCATAGTGTCATGAGGACTAGCAGCCAACAAAAAAATGTATGATCTAATAGAGGAACAAAGGGGGTGCAAGTCAATGTTTTACTAAGATGTTAAGATTAAAGCAAAGGGGCCCTGGTGGTACAGTGGGTAAACTGCTTGGCTGCTAATCTGTAAGGGTGGCGGTTCGAAAACCCACCAGCCGCTCTTCAGGAGAAAGATGCGGTATTCTGCTTCCATAAATACTGCAGCCTTAAAAACTCTATGGGGTAGTTCTACCCTTTCCTACTGGGTTGCTATGAGTTGAAATCGACTGGATGGCAATGGGTTTTGGAAAGATTAAAGAAACACAATCAAGCACTATAAATTGTTTTTCATATTCAGTGAAGACATCATAATTTATACCACTCTTTTCTTTTTTTCAAGTATCTTGCATACACAGGCAAAAATACTTAGAATTTATGGATCCTTAAAATAGGGACTGCTAACCAGTCAATTTCAAAGCCTGACTTGGTCAATCTTGGGTCTCGCAGTTGATAGTTGTAACCTTCCTTTATAACTTATAGGTGGTCTTGTCCAAGCACCTCAGACCTCCATCTTCAATCAGCTTTATTGTTTATAAGTTTAGAGGTCCTGAAAGAGAATGATAATTTAAAGAAATGAAGAGCTATAAAAAAGGGCATTCTCAAAAGGAAACATAGTTTTCTAACTAGTGTGGTTAGAAGAACCAGGTATAAAGAAAGAGTAAAACCAGTAACTAGTTGCTATAGAACTGATTTTGACTCATGGTGACCCCATATGTTTCAGAGCAGAACTGTGTTCTATACGGTTTTCAATGGCTGATTTATTTTTTGGAAGTAGACTGCCAAGGCTTTTCTTCTGAGGTGCCTCTGGTTAGACTTGAACCTCCAATCCTTCGCTTAGCAGTCGCTTGCACCACCAGGGGCTCTAAACAAAGAGTAGTACTCATTAAAGCTATTAAGGCTTTTCTTACCTCTGTCTGCACTCGGAGCTGGTTTGAAAGACCTTCTTTGTCCTGTAGTAGCCTCCTTTCAGAGTTCTTGAGCTTTTCCAATACATGCTTTACCTCAGATAGTTCTTTCCTAGGTTCTACGACTCCCTCTGAATGACCAAGGGATTCTCCTTTATGATGCCCCAGAGACTTCACTTTGGCATTTTTGTTGGGGATATCATGGGTTATAGCAGCTTTTGGAACTAATATTCTTACAGCTTCAACTTCCACTGCTTTTTCAGTGAGGATCTTCCCTAGGTGAAGAACTCCTAGGCTCTCTGATGCAACTGCTTTCTTCTGTGGACTCTGAAGGATGTGACGCTTTATGGATTGGACTCCAGAGGTGGCTTCAATGGATTTATGTGGCTCCTCAGTCTCCATTCCATCTCCTGCTCCTCGGATTGGGGTTGAAGTAAGGGTGGCTAACAAAGGAAAACAAAATATGAACTACTTGCTGAAAAGAAATGCTAAGACATGCTTTACCCTACATTCAGAATTATTGGCACTAGAACGAATAAAAAAAAATTTAGAGTAAAAAGTAATGTTCAAAACATACATGTATCATCAAAAGACAGTCTTAAAGTGTTAAACTTTCTTCAAGTATATGGTTTCTCTCTTAGTAGAAAATGCAAGAGATTTAAGATCAGAGGATTTGGCTCAAATCATGACTTCTACATACAAACGTAGGAACAATTGTGAGGATGTCACAGGACTGGGCAGTGTTTCATTCTGTTGTATATAGGGTCGCTATGAGTTGTAAATGACTCGACAGCACCTGACAAAAACAACTTCCTAGTATGATCCTGGGTAAATAATTTAACCTGCCATGAACCTCAGTTTCCCAATATGCTACAGGGCTGTCATAAGAAAGAATGCAATGATATCAAGTACCTGGCACACTATGAACAATAATATTAGTTTAATATAAAAAATAATCAACTATATATATACATATATTTGAAATTATCTACCTCAGAATAGATTTATCTGTTTTTGTGAACTCTTGGCAAAGAATGCTTTGCAAAGGGACAAGGAAAAGCATCATATATGTTGAGGATTAGGAAAAAGATTCAATCCTGTTCTTAGGCCTAATGTTGTATTTATGTTCTGGTTACACAAATGAAACTGAACTGTGTTGCCAGATTAAACTTCCTTAGACCTCACTTTCACCACAGCATGCTCAAATTATTTTACTGGTTCCTCATTCCCTCTAGAGGTTTTAGCCTTTTTTTAGGTGCCAGGGTTAATTTTTTGTTTTTTTAAAGGGAAATTCCAAGAGGAAGCCTATGAGGAAAAAATTAAAAGAGGTACTATTTTCTGTCGAGATAAGGGGAGGAGGTGATGAAACTCAGCCACCCAGTAACCTCAGAGGCACCACCATGAAGCAAGTTTGAAAATAACTACCCAATAGGGTGAGAACCAAAATCCTCACACTATCTTTCCAAGGCCCTCCATAATTTGGTCTCATACCAGTTAATCTAACAGACTACTCAATATTCTCTCTCCTAGGGCCTTAGTCAGGCCTTTGTTCATGCTACTTCTTGTTCCCCTAGATAGCTTGTTTCCTCACTCACTATAATTCTAACTTATCCTTAAGAAGTTTGCTTTAACTCCACTCTTTGCATTAAATCTTCCCAACTGCTCTAGCCCACACTCTGAATACTGATGACACTTACTGTTTCAAACATTCAGTTTGGAACTTGTCATTCTGTATTTGTTAATCTCACTTTCCCAATAAATCTTTTGTGTACATTAAGGGCAAGCATTATGCCCTAAACAAGTGGAAGGAACACGGTGTTCATAGAAAGAATGAGAACTTTAGGATCAACCAGATATGGTTTTAAACCCTATTTCTACAATTACCACCTGTGCAACCCTGTACAAAAATCTTACAATTATCTGAGTTTCAGTTTCCACATCCATAAAATGAATTTAACGTCTATCTCGTTGGATTACTTTGAGTACTAAATGAGAAAATGTTAAAAGTGATAAGTAACCAGCACCTACAAAAGACTATGTGTCAGACATTCCAAACACTTGACATATACAGTCATCCTTTGGTATTGCAAGGGACTGGGGGATTCATTCCAGGAAAACCCCCACCAAAATCCCCAGATGCTCAAGTCCCTTATATAAAATGGCATAGTATTTGGAGTTCCGGCAAAATGGCGCTCTAGGCAGAAGCACCACGCCGTCCCTCCACAGCAAAGATCCAAAAAACTAAGCCAAACAGAGAAAACAACAATCCTGAAACCCTAAAACATCAAATGAAGAGATAAAGAACTCAGCCAAGCACCAAACGGAGTGAGAAAACTGACAGAGAATGGGGAGCGAGGAGAGGTTCATGCAGAGGTCCCCTACCAGCTAACGCAGCGCGGATCCGCCATCTTGGACTCCTATCGGAGACCAGCAAACAGGAGGTACGAGAAAGCAGCTTTATGGAGCTTCCAGAGGGAGACAAAACAACTGGTAATTTGCGATACACGCTTTCCCACCCCCCACCCTTCTTCACCCCCACTCAGTCTCCTCTGCTTCCCGTGGCCACAATCTCTTGTCCAGGAAACACCAGCTGCTTGGATTCCACACACCCGAACGGGCTGGCTGAGTGCCATTTGTTGGCTGCTGGTGTTGCTTTCTTCCGCTTCTTTTGATTTCTTCCTTACCTCTCACCACCTCCCCCTCCTTTCGCTCAAATACCTGGCTCCGTGCGCCATCTTTGCTTCTTCCTGAGGGGCTGCTGAGCTCGGGTAATTTGTGACATACGCTTTCCCACTCCCTACCCTTCTTCACCCACACTCGGCCCCCTCTGCTTCCCGCGGACACAGTCTCTTGTACAAGAAACACCGGATGCTTGGATTCCACCAGCCCACACTAGCTGACTCTCTGAGTGCCATTTGTTGGCTGCTGGTGTTGCTTTTTTTCCTGCTTCTTTTGATTTCTTCCTTACCTCTCACCACCTCCACCTCCTTTCACTCAAAAACCTGGCTCCGTGCGCCATCTTTGCTTCTTCCTGAGGGGCTGTGGAGCTCTGTTCGAGTGTGGAGCTGCTTCCCAGTCAGCGCTTCCACAGTGGAGGGATCCCGGGGCTTTTACTCGTTTGTTTGTTTTGAATTGTTCGTTTGATTTCTTTTCCTTTTCTTGAGTTGGGAGCCCTTTCTGGCCAGGTGGTGTGCATGGCAAGGAGACTACCCCCCTGCTTGCACAGACATGCAGAGGGATCCCTGAGGGCATTTCTTTTTACATTGTTTTTTTTTTTCCTTTCTTTTTTTTTTTTCTGTGTTTTTGGAGCTTTTTCTTGTTCTTTCTTTTTTTTAATTTGTTTTGTTTTTTTTTCCCTCTTTGTCTTTCTTCATTACTCAGTTTCTCGTCTCACTATATCTTCCTTCTCTTTCTGTTCCCTGAATACCTGGCATTGTTTACCTCTACATCTTCTAGCCAGGCTGTACTGCAACACCTGAGAGCAACTTCCCCCACCCCACAGCTGCACCGGTGGGATCCCTGGGAACTTTGCGGTTCTTTAACCTTTCCGATTTTTAATTATTCATTGTTTTCTTTCCTTTGCTTCCTCTTCCCCTTTCTGTTTTTCTCCACTTCATAGTCTCTCATTTCTCCACTCCAACGGCAAGCTCCCCTAGCATTCTTTTTTGTTTGTTCATATGTTTTTGGCTCCTGTTCCTCTCTCCTCTCTCCCATATCCATCTGAGCTCCATACATAATAATCTCCCCACTACATCCTGCCTACCTGCACCGTGCGCTTCACATCACACCACCAAGCAACACAGGTAGGGCCTACTGGAACTTGCCCTGCACTGATTACCGACCCGCCCTGGTGGCTGTAGTAAGTTCCACAAACAGCCCATCCCAGTAACTCCACTTCAGCTAGACCTGCCCTGCTGTACCATATCTCAGTGATTGACCCTGCCAATTGGAGAATGAGGCGAAAAGTACTGTGCCCACAGACGAGCAAACAACAAAGAAAACACAGTACGCCTGCTCAGTCAAATTTTTTTTAAAAAAGGGACGAAACAAATCTACAATCAATAAACGAGAAAAATAACTACTGAAAGCCCCGAAGACAGCAGACAATATCAAAACATTTACAAAAACAGGGCAGAATGGTTCGAGTAGGCATCCAAAATAAAACACCAGATGACTTTCCAGTGGAAGAAAATGCACTAGAACTACCTGATAGGGAATTCAAATCTCTAATACTCTGAATTCTCCAAGAGCTGAGGCAAAAAGCTGACAAACATGAGGAAAAAATAGACAAATTCATGGAAAATACAGACAAAACATTGGAAGAATTCAGGAAAACAATGCAGGAACAAAATGACAAAATAAATTCACAACTAGAAGTTACACAAAGACAACAATTAGAAATCCAAAAGATAAACAACAAGATTTCAGAAATGGATGGTGTCACAGAAAGGCTGAGAAGCAGATTTGAGATGGTGGAAGACAGGATCAGTGGAATTGAAGACAAACACTTGGATACAACTCCGTTTGAGGAAAACTCAGAAAAGAGAACAAACAAAAATGAACAGACCCTGAGAGTTATGTGGGATACAATCAAAAGCAAAAATTTGCAAGTGACTGGAATTCCAGAACAGGGGAAGAAAACAGAAAACACTGAGAGGATCACCGAAGAACTGCTGACAGAAAACTTCCCCAATATCATGAAAGATGAACAGCTGGCCATCCAACAAGCACAATGAACCCCATATAGGAGAGACCCCAAAAGAAAATCACCAAGGCACATCATAATCACACTCGCCAAAACCAAAGACAAACAAAGAATCCTGAGAGCAGCTCGTGAAAAACAAGAAGTCACATACA